GCCCCCCCCTCTGCAGCCCCAATTAACTGCTCCAGCTTAATTAGCTTCGGGGGCGTGGATGAGCCTTAATTAGCAGAGGGCGGGACTGAGCCGAGGTGAGGCTCGGCAGGGGCAAAAGCAGGAAAAAAAAAGGGAATTTGGGGATTTTTGGTGGGTCTGGGCGGGGTGAAGGTGCCCTGATCCCACAGGAGGAATTCCCATGGGAGGGGAGGGGGACGTGCCCCAGCTCAGCCTGGTGTTATTCTGAATTTTCCCTTTTTTTTCCTCTTTTCCACGTTCCCTGTGCTCCTTGCAGGTGTATTTGTGGCTCTGTAGCCCCGTTCTGTTAATAACGACTTTTCCCAGTATTTTTCCACGGTGTTTCCCTGGGCAGAAAGACAAAAATTCCAAAGTTCCAAGGCCCAGGAACAACTCCAGGAGAATTCATGGATGGAGCTCAGCCAGTGCTGAGGGGGGACTGCAGAGAAGGGGAGAGAACTCCATCGCCTGTCCTCCGAATTGCTAATTGATCAATTCTATAATTTCCTAAATCCTACAAATAATTGCCAATTGATCAACTCTATAACCTCCTAAATCCTACAAAATGTCCTCACCCCTGTGGGGGTGGGATTTTGTGGCATCTCTCCCCAAGTGCCCCCGAAGGCCTTGGAGTAAAATCCACTTTTGGTTTAACTCTGAATTAAAACGACCTTGAGGTAAAATCCACTTTTGGTTTAATTCTGAATTAAAATGACCTTGAAGTAAATCCACTTTTGGTTTAATTCTGAATGAAAATTACCTTGCAGTAAAATCCACTTTTGGTTTAAACTCTGAATTAAAACAACCTTGAAGTAAATCCACTTTTGTTTAAAACTCTGAATTAAAACGACCTTGGAGTAAAATCCACTTTTGGTTTAAACTCTGAATTAAAACGACCTTGAAGTAAATCCACTTTTGGTTTAATTCTGAATTAAAATGACCTTGCAGTAAATCCACTTTTGGTTTAATTCTGAATTAAAACCCTCTCGAGTTTTTATTCCCAGGTTGGGAAAACAACAACAACCCCCCGGGCACAGCTCCGGAGCGTGGGGGGCTCTGTCCCAGCCAGCACCAGCCCCAAAAAAAGGACCCAGGAAGCCAAGTTGGAAATCTCCACGTTTTTTTAATGGCAAAAGGGGTTTTGTACAAGCAGGACCGGAGTTTAAAAAAAAACCCCAAAAAACCCCAAAAAAAACCCCAAATTCGTGCAGCACGGAGCAGGTGTTCTCAGCAGGTTTGGGGAAGGGTGGGAAGGATTTCATCCTGCCCCAAATTAAAGGGAGTTTTTGGGTATTTTCACATTTTCACCT